ACACACACACACACACACACACACACACACACACACACACACACACACACACACTCCCAGGTGGCGTCAGAAGTTGGAGCCCCAACAAACTGAGTCTTTCTTGAGAACAAGCAGATTAACGGCTGCAGGATTAGGACCAGGACACCCAAGTCGACCACAAGTGGTCCGCCGTCTCCATGGCAACTAGTCTGCAGACACCCCCCCCCCAAACACACGGTAACGACCCCCCCATTATTACTGACAGATAAATACAAAGCACTTCCAAAACATCTTCATTAAAGGACTTCATTAAATTTGTCTCCTTTTGAATTTTTTTTTATATTTTCAGTGAAGTTGAGGTTGAAGCCATGTTTATCACCTCCAGCCAACATCCTGACTGCATTTCTTTATTCACTTCACCTGCTCATCTTTAGTTCTAGTTCTGTTCCAGCCTGGAAGTCATGCTCAAACTATGTGTTTTAGATAACTCTCAGCTACTGCCACACCAAATTTCCTCTCAATGTCCACAAAGCTGACTGAGTGGTGGTCATTTTTGTGTTGGCTAATTTTGCTTAGCTGTGGCGGCCATCTTGAACTCGATTATCATCAAACATTAATCGATTACAGAAAAACATCTGACAATTATTTCCTCAAAGTTTAATTAAAATCCATACGAAGGTTTATGAGATATTTTGCTAACAGACAGGCAGAGTTACAACCTCCAATCAAAGCCAAACTTTTATGTACACAGCTCATACGATCAGCTCAGAGTTCAGAGCAGAGGTTGGGGAAACTCTCAACTACTACCACACCAAGTTTCACCTCAACGTCTGTAAAATGAACTGAGTTGCAGCTGTTTTTGTGTTCGGTCATTTTGATTAGCTGTGGCGGCCATCTTGWATCAGGATGACTTCAARAGTTCAACAGTTGTAGTCATTTGTTTGATGATCGCTTTCTGAGAGTTTAGCTGAAATCAGATCAGTGTTTCAGGAGAWATTTTGCTAACAGACGTACACGCGTTGGTGTCGCACTCGCCGGTTATTTCAGGATTCTTTCTTCTCTTGTCAATCGTTATTTTTAGTTTCTGTGTGTTGTGAGTTATTTCTGTATATTCTCCTTCCTTTGAGCCAAACATTACTCCTAAATCTCCAGAACTTAAGTAGCATTTCGTCTTTTCTCCAGATTGTCCCAGTTGGACAAAGCGTGGCGGTGAAGATGTGACAGGTTAGCCTGGATTTGATCCTTCTGAGCACACGTCTGCCGACATTAAACAACAAAAAATAAAATAAATAACGCCTGCTTTCTTTACAACCATTTAACTGAAGCCAGAGCTCAGGAACAGCATCTGTCCTGCAGGCCTGACTTTTGAGAGTTCGCCAAATAAAGGGTCCCACCGAGACCCGAGACCCTGATTCTCTGCCTCAGGTCTGTGGGGACACCTGGTCAGGCCCTCGTTTGGCTGCGATTTAATCAGATTTTTCCTTTTTAGACAAATTATTTACTTGATTAAACACAAAGCAAACATGTTTTAGATGATGGGAAAACAAATTCAGGTTTATTTCATTAGTTTGATGAGATAAACGTTCATAAAGAGCAGTTTGTTCCTGGATGGGCTTTGTGTTAATGAGGGGCTTCCCAGTGTGTGTGTGTGTGTGTGTGTGTGTGTGTGTGTGTGCAATGACCAATCAAGCGAGGCGGATCGTGTTTGAACAGTGTTAGTA